CGTAGCCACACGGGCCTACAGGGCCCGTCCCGGACATTCAGCCTAAAAGCCTAAAACTTAGGGCTTACAGGCCCCGTTCATTTCAGCCTGGATGCTGAAAAACGAGGGCCTGCAGGCCCTACCTCGTTTCAGCCTATTTCTGGATCTTTTCAGACCTAGAGTTTTCAGCCTGAAACGGAGGTCCATTTTCAGGCCCTCATTGTTTCGACCTGCCCTTAAGACTCAGGCACGGAAACAGGGATGCGGAACAGGCCCAAAATAGCCTGTTCCTCACGTGCTCGAGCAGGAGCTGCAGCTGCAGCCCCTGCCTTCCTTCGGCAGGCTCAAGAGGCACACCCGTAGTACATAGGAGGWTCCCATGCACTTCACGRGKAGGYAGTCAGTAGGCAGARGTAGTCTTCAGGATTCGGCCGCAGCACTCAGGAGCGCTGCAGTAGTCTTCAGCGCTAGGCAGTAGTGGTAGCACTAGCTGTAGTCTTCGGCGCTGGGCGCCATAGCTGTAGCTGTAGTCTTCAGCGCTGGGCGCTGGTAGGTAGTAGATCGCAGAGTGGAGAGAGACTGGCAGAGGCCAGTGTTACTTACCTGTGGCGCCATCGCTCCAGCTCCAGCTTCGTGGTACCTGCATCAAGGCGCCAACTTCACAGGTTAGTACTGGACACAGGGAGAGAGAGAGTTCTTCTTCTTCCTCTTCTAAGTCCACCTTCTCTTCTCACCCTCTCGCCACCTGACTTCTCAGACAACGACAGAGAGAGACAGAGTTGTGACTTGAGACTTGACGACATTGGATCCAGACTTGACATTTGGGATTCAGACAGTTCGACGAGGGACTATTTGGGCTTGTGCCGAAGACTTGGTGTTGACGACATTTCCATGTTCCCCCTCCTCTTCGTCTATCCCCTTCCTCCTCGTCTGTGCATGTTCTGGGCTGGCACTGCCTTCCTGTGTGAAGCGCCAGACCCATTCACACTATGAAACGATGAGGATGATATATGTTCAGGGCTGCATTACCACATTGATTGTTCGGATCACTAGTATCTAAGTCTTCCGCTGTGCTATCTTATACTTTGTATTGAAAGGTCGGTTCTTGTTCTGGTCTGCACGCATACGGTATGCAACAGGTCTGTTGCCCGTTTTCGTAATTCCTTCAAATCTGCAGTTAGGAACTTGATCTTAGCCAAATGGTTCAAAATTAAGAATAGCTCTCTATCACCCCCGGATGCACAAAAACTGCTCAGCAGCGGATGGGCCTCTAGAGTTTCAATGGATTCAGTTCTTAGAAAATAAACAGTTGGTTTTCTCTCGTCACCTTTGGGCCGAGAAGGACTTGATCCTCCCCCAGGATCCAGAAGTTGTCTGCTTATAAATCTTTTTGAGAAGAAAAGACGCTGGACCCGATTCCCAGCAGGCGCAGCTCCCCAGCAATGGAAAGGAGTAATCTACGGGTGACCCCCCTGACATGGCAGTGCTCGTATCACTCAAGGTCAGAAGAGCATCCGCCTGATTTTCAAAAAAAAAAAAAAAAAAAGAACACTCCAGACACACCGCTGGCACTAGAGGCAGAGCATGGCCACGTAGTGACGGTCGGACACACCGCTGGCACTAGAGGCAGACCATGGCCGCGTAGTGACGGCCCCGACCACAAGTGTTTTTTGGGGGATGTTGAAATATACTACGAGCTACCAACGGGTATACCTCAGTTGGGAGAAAAAGAAAAAAGAAAAAAAACACTAGCTACTACCAACCTGTGTTCGATCCTAACGGAACAAGATGAATGAAAATTCTCATTTACCTGGGACTGGTCAGTTCGAGGATGATATCTGCAAGTGTATGGCGCTCGCTGCGCTACTCTCGACATGCACAAAAGACAAAAATCATTGCCACATCTTTCCGTATTCTAGCGGAAGATTCACTCTCGTTTTGCACTTTTCGAGAGTAGTGCAGCGAGGCCCTATGTCGAATACAGGACTCGAACACACGACTCTCGGCTCGGCAGGCAAACACATAACCGTAAGGCCATCCCTCTTAGACAAAGAAGGAAAAGAGGGGGGGGGGGGGGGGGGGGGGGGGGGGGGGGAGAAGGGGGGATGCTACGAGCTCAGACTGCAAAACAAAAATCAAAGAAAAAATGGAAAAAACAACTTCGAATTAACATTTCGAAGGAATTTCGTCAATTTCCGGGGGCGACGTCCCACTACACTCTTCCCCCGAACATAACGCACCCTGAAAAGGAACGTATACAAGGTATGTTTACTACCAGATACAGTCAGAATGAGGGTGCGTTGTGTTCGGGGCAAGACGGTAGCAGAGAGGACTGCATTTGGCGGGGCCGAACCCGGACGTGCGTTGGCGGAGAGGTGCAGAAAAGGAGAGAAAAAAAAAAGGCGATTGATATGCTTTTCTGCATCTCTACCTAAAACAAATCCAGAAACAGGCGCTTAATCCAAATTGGTTTGCTTTTCTGCATCTCTACCTAAAACACATCCAGATTCAGGAGCTTAATCCAATCTTCATTGCTACTGGTAGTAGCACCGCGCAGCAAAGCTTATCATCTCCATAGAGGGCCTCGCCGCACCACTCACCAAGTGCGAAAACGACACACAAATGCTATGGCGGGTGTATGGGTTCACCTTCTGGGGCAAAATACATTACATAATGCACATTTGTGTGACTACCATCTTCACCGGAATAGAACGCCCGGTCATAGTAGCTGTATTTGGTGCAATTTTCAGTCTAGATACAGCTATAATGACCTGGCGTTGTATTCGGCTGAAGACGGTAGTACAGGGAGGCCCAGAGTCACTCTCCAATTTCATTACGTCTTTTCCCAGGTGAAACGAAGGCCGACTTTTTTTTTGTTTTTTGAATGAAGAAAATGAAGGTCGATTATCTACAACCAGGGGCCTAGTCATATCGCAGCATCGGGTTTCCTCGACCCCTGAACCTGGACGTGTTTGTGGAGACGTGCAGAAAATCCGACGAGTTTCCTCAACCGCGCATCTCCACAAACATGACCAGATTCGAGAGTTGAGTAAACTTAAACGCTGCTGGTGGGACGAGGGCCCAGGTCAGACACGATCACATTCGAAAAGAGAAAATAACAGGAAAAAAAAAAAAAACTATCACGCTCAGAAATCGAGCTGCTAAAGACGAAAACGGAAAAAAAAAAAGAACACTCACGCTCAGAAATTGAGCTGCTGGAGACGTAGACGGAAAAAAACAAAAAAAAAAAGCGCTATCACGCTCAGAAATCGAGCTGCTGGGGACATAGGGGGGGAAAAGAAAAACAAGAAAAAGCTATCACGCTAAAACCTGCTGGAGACGGAGACGGGGAAAAAAAAAAGAAGAGTAAGGGCATGGGCATTCTCCGCTCACTCGCCGCGTGGCAGCGATCGAACCACGAAGGAGAAACAAGACGGAGAACAAAAGAAAAGAACAAAAGAAAGGAAGAAATGAAAGAGAAAACAACACGAAAAAAAGAATAATCCTCAACATTTCATGCCGTGCAGAAATCAACGCTCTGGAGGACGACGAGAAGAAGAAACAAGAAAAGACGAACGAGAGAGAGAGAGAGACAGAGACAGAGAGAGAGAGAGAGCAAAACAGTGGCCATCGCCCGCTTCTCGTACATGCCTTCGTCAACAATCATTACAAATCCGCATGTACTGCACCCAACGACGAGGAGAAGATACAAAGCCAACAACAAGAAAAAGAAACAAGAGAAAAAGAGAGGAGAAGAGGAAGCGTGAATTTCTAAAAGTTAACACAATGTCACGCAGATTCTCAACATTCTATCTCGCACGATAACATTCTATCATCATTCGTATTAAGTGCAGAATTCAACGAGACAGGAGGAAGACAAGTAGAGGAAACGAAAAAACGAGAGAGAGAGAGAGAGAGAGAGAGAGAGAGAGAGAGAGAGAGAGAGAGAGAGAGGCTGGAACGGAAGAGGGCGGTTTTCAACGCTTCATGCCATGCATCTGTCAAGGACGAGGAGAAGAGTACGCGTCAACAGCAGCAGTAGTACAAGAAGAAGAAGAAAAAGACAGGGGAGTAGAGAAAGGTTTAATTTATGAAACAAAATATCGCGGCGCATGTTTTACAACCAGCAGGAGGAAGAGGGGGAAACCGAGAGAGGAAGAAGAGGAGAAACAAGAAGCGAACCACGACGAGGAGGAGGAGGAGGAGGAGGTGCAAGCCGATGTCCCCAAAAAACTCTTGTCTTACCAACCCCCAATCTGTCGTCCATACTGCTTATACATGACTTTGGACACGAAGGCAGACCTACCATTCTGTTCATCGTATCTGAACGGAAATCGTATCTGTACGGAAAACGTATCTGTACGGAAACCACAGAGGTCGAAGATTTTCGGGACATGTCGGGGTGTGGAGGTGGGCGTCAACAAAGAGAGATTATCTCTAGGTGGGTAGAGAAAGAGACAGTAGAAGTTGAAGGACAAGGCTTTCAGGCACCGACAAAATAACAACACCCCGGCGATCACAGCGGCCGGCCGGCCGTCCTGCCTCTGCATTCCACTCCAAGCACTTCGAAGCTTATCCTCCGAAAAAAACAAAGCCGCAGAGGCGATCACACCGGCCGGCCTGCCTCTGCCTCTGCGTCTTTTGTGACAGCTTGCCTTGACTGACGAGTTTCTTCACAAATTTCGCCCCTTCGATCGAAAGTTGTGGACTCCTGTTGAATGCGGAGTCGCTGAAGAACCGCCGCCAGCAATGAAAGGCTAAACGGGCCGGCCATAGAGTGTAGATATATTCCAAACAGAGTTTGAACTCAGACTACTATAGTTAGGTACTAATAAGCGTTAACCTAGCTACCAAACCACGGGAATTTGCCAGGAGTAGCGGAGGAAGATCGACGGAGAGGGAGAGGAAGGTAGGGTGAACTCAGATTGACTTACTATAGTTAAACAACTAATAAGCGATAAGCTAGCATTCAAACCACTGGAAATTCGCGAAAAGAAGTAGCGGAGGAAGATAGAGGGAGAGGGAGAGGGAGAGGGAGGGAAACGGAGGGAAAGGGAGAGGTAGCAGTTTTAGTGAGCACTCATACTAATTCTGGCCGTGGCCAACTCAGTGTAATTGTACTTGCCAGTCTATATACGTATTAACAAACTACTGAGTTTTAACTCTGGCTCACTACGGCAGTTAGTTTATAATCAGCGCGTTACGGTGAAGCTAGCAACCAAACCACGCGATCTTTTTCGAAAAGGGGTATCAGGAGGAAGGTGGGTAGACAGGGAGGGAGAAGGCGAAGGAGAGGGAGAAGGAGAAGGAGAAGGAGAGGGAGAGAGGGAGAGGGAGAGAGGGAGATGTGGTACAGTTAGTGAGAAGCCATAATTTTGGCAAACTCGGTGTAATTGACTTGGCCATCGCCATCTACATCGGCCTGTTTGATCATCTCTTCGAGGTCTTCCGTCTTCATTTTCTCTCCGAGATTCTCCATAACCTTTTTAAGCTCGGCCAACGAGATTTTGCCATCGCCGTTCTCATCGAACAACTTGAAGGCTTGCATCAACTCCTCCTGCTCGAGGACCGCTGCCTGACTCAGCTTCCCTGCCATCACGTCGAGGAACTCGTCGAACTCGATCTTGCCGCTGTGGTCCGCATCCACGTCAGCAATCAGCATCTTGACCTCCTCTTCAGACACAGTGGTTCCCAGCTTCTTCATCACCTCCGCCAGCTCTTCCGTCGAAATAGTCCCATCCTTATCCTTGTCGAATAGCTCGAAAGCTACCTTAAGATCGGTGATCTGAGCCTCGGTCAATGTCTCCTTCCCCATAGCTTCGCCGCAACAGAAGCTCGAGACGAAATGCCTCCCTCACTCCCTTCTTCCTCTCTCTCTCTCTCTCTCTCTCTCTCTCTCTCTCTCTCTCTCTCGCTGATACTGTGCCCGCCCCGCCTCTTCGTTCTCTCCCTTCCCGCTGCTCGGGGGAACCCAATACCACCTACCTCGAGTCGAGACTGGTGGGGGCAGATGGCGGCGACCGCTGGAGTCGAACAGATGCTACGACAACGGCGCGGTGTCGGCAGACTGGGTGAAACCGACGTAAATATACAGATACTGATGAATAGCTAATAGAGAGATACAGAATAGCACAGGTAGTCAGTTAGTCCTTCGGGACACCCGGGGCTAGGTCCCACTTGCACGGATTAAGAGATGCTGGCCGTTGATCTTTGCTATCTACGGTCAATGTCGCTTAAATCGTGTAAGTGGGACCCAGCCCCCGTAAAAATTGGAACGATACAGAGAGAAAGAAGATTAGCAAGGCACCGCCCGTGTGACACCATTTCGACATTATAATAAAGTCGAAACAAGGAATAAAAAAAAAACTGAAACAAAACGCTAGAAAAAGCTTTTCTCCTTATTTTTTATTACGTAGCTCGGAGAAAAGAAAGAAAAAAGACAAAAATGCAAAACGCAAATATATTATAGAGATACCGAATCCGGGGTGGACGGTTCACAGAGACGGGCCTCGCTCGCGCCAATAGTCTCCCCTCCAGATGCACAAAAGAAGAAAAAAAAGTGCTGAGGCATTTTCTTGTTTGTTCTAGAGGAGAATTCAGTGCCTGATCCGACTTCTTACAGGAACGTCACTTTTAGGGCCGAACGTCACTTTTAGGGCCTCGCTGCACTACTCTTGAAATGTGCAAAACGAGAGTGAATCTTCCGCTAGAATATGGACAGATACACCGCCATGATTTTTGTCTTTTGTGCATTTCAAGAGTAGTGCAGCGAGGCCCTTAGGCAAAATTTGGGATCCCACTTCTTTCCACGAAAGTAGGATCCCACTTCTTCCGCTGAATACGTGTAGGCAGGACCGTTTTTTTTTTTTTTTTTTTTTTTAAAGCACAGGCGCTCCATCTATTGGTGGGGAGCAGCACCTGCTGGGAACCGGGTCCAGCGTCCCATAGATACAACCATATCCTCTCAAATTGGCACGAGCTGGGAACCGGGCCCAGCGTCCCTTGAGTACGTTCAGAACAACCTTCAGAAAATTTCATGACAATGAAACTAAGGGTATACTGAGGCTACTTCAGGGCTTTTTTGTAAGGAACATTCAGAGATAAACAAAAATCAGAAGAAGACTCGGGAATCCACCAACAGTCCTCCTCACCCCACTCCGGCAAGCCTTACTGTAGCAAAGCCACCATCTCTACTGCGGCTATGCCCTATTTCTGTCCTACCAGCTAGCCCCTTCACTAGCAGGATGCGTGATACCTTTCTCTCTCGATCCCTTACCTTCCCGTTACTCAGAAAAGGTACGGGAATAGACTGCAAAAGTCCTAAAAAGGCCCCCAATCCCGCAAAATCCCTAACAAATCCTTCCAAGGATCTCCAACACTGTCGTATTCCCTGCCGAGCTTCCAGGCCTCACAACCCCCATCCTGCTGGGTTACAGGGCAACGCAACTCACCCCAGCTCCGGCCAGCGTCGTCTCAGCAGCAACCCTTGGTTGTCCCGTGGGATGCCCCCCCAAAGCACCCCCAGATCTCTCTACCAGGCCTCATGCCCCTGCATCAACARGTTACAGGGCAACACCCCAGCACYGGCCAGCGTCGTTCTGGCGTCGAACAGCCTTAGGTCACCGAGTATTACAGCCTTGAAACTACCTAGAAGAGATTGTCAGGAAACCCCAGGATCCAGAAGACTTTTTAAGGACAGAACAGACTACCCTTTTTTTTTAGAATTGGATTTAACTACGTAAAGATTCGTAATTTGAAAACATAAAAAAGGCCTGGCGGKTCCTAGAAATGCTCAGAAACCCTTGGAATCCCTAACGCTCCTTCCGAGGCCTTTCAACACTATCCTACTCCCTGCCGAGCTCTTCCAGGTCTCACACCCCACATCCAGCTAGGTTACAGGGTGACACAGCTCACCCCAGCTCCGACCAGCGTCGTCCCAGCAGCAACCCTTAGCTGTTCCATAGGATGCCCACCCCTAAGCATCCCCAGATCTCTCTACCAGGCCTCATGCTCCTGCATCACAGGTCACAGGGTAACACCCCACCTCCGGTCAGCGTCGTTCTGGCATCGAGCAGCCACAGGTCCCTGAGTCTAACAGCATCAAAAACCACCTGAGAAAAGTTGTTAGGGATCCCGAGGGCCCAAAAGCATTCTTAAGACCACCGAACAGCCATCTGTAAAAAGAAAAAAAAAAAGGGGGGGAGGTCAAAACTAAATACCAACCATCCTAAAGTCCCCCCCTCAACAAAGGAGCCGTCGGTCTCGACTTTCGGTCCTCGAACCAGAGCACACTTGGTCTCATACCCCCTTCTGCATGGGTAACAGGGCACTGCAACCTTCCCCAGTACCGACCAACCTAGTTCTGTCGGATAGGAAGTGCCTTCCTCCCTTGGCAATTCCCATAGCGACAAACCTCTACACAGGTTACAGGGTCAGAACCCCGGCGCCGCTTGTGTTGGACGATCTGGTTATGCCTTCCACCCTCGGCATAATTCCATGGGCCTCAAGCTCCCCCCTGGGTCACAGAGCCAAGCTCCAGCACCGGCCCATGGCATCCCAGCCTCGTCCTCCTGACCTACTCACCTTCCCCGACATCCATCCTCTGATTGAAGGTCACCTTTCCTCCTCCAATCCTCCCCTTTTTAATTCCCCCCCTCCTTCCTTGATCAAAATCAAAATTATCTGAGTTTATAGAACTTCTATAGGAATTTATTTGAAGATTTTTTTCAGAAAATTCTTAGAAGCTTTTATAGGAAAATATTTCGTTTATAGAACTTCTATAGGAATTCATTTGAAGAATCTTTTCAGAAATTTCTTAGAATCTTTTATAGGAAAATATTTCGTTTATAGAACTTATATAGGAATTTATTTGAAGAATCTTTTCAGAAATTTCTTAGAAGCTTTTATAGAAAAATATTTTGAAAATATTTTTAGAAGCTTTTGTAGGAAAATATTTTGAGAAGCAGAAGTTTTTTGAAGCTTTTATTCGAAAAATATTTCGAGCTGTAGAATCAGAAGTTTCTTAGAAGCTTTTATAGGAAATTATTTCGAGAATATTATTAAAAGCTTTTATAGGAAAAAAATTCGAGAATCATAAGTTTTTTTTTGGAAGCTTTTATAGGAATTCCAATACGAGGTTTGAAGTTTAAACCGAGCATGTCGATCATCAGGAAAATTCCAATTGATCAGCATAAAGAAAACGAATCAGGAAATCATAGACTGAGAAATTCAGAAGAGCACCCAATGAACAATAGAAAGAAATCGAATCAAGAAATCGTGAACTGAGATCTTCTGATTATCCCCCCTTATAGAATCAATCATTAGTACACGTGAATTAGGAAATCATGGTTATGAGCAGGGGGAAGCTACCCTCCTTCCTTTCTTGCAGCCATGTGACTTCGTAAAAAATCCCGTAAGAAGAAAAAACCCTCTATCTCCCCTTCATCCACCCTCACTCAAACCCAACCCCTTCACCTTCGGGAGGGAAGAACAAAACTCCCTCCATCTACCTGCCCTACCGGCCTCAAGGGCCTGCCATAACACCAACACAGGCAAACGAAGGTACCAATCGACCATCCATGACCGTGATCGCAGGGGATGTGGAAACGGTGTCGTACGTGTAGGCAGGACCGTGATCGCAGGGGCGGTAGTTGTTTTGGTTTTCGGGAGAGGCCGACCGCCTCTTCTCTAGCGAAAAATAAGGCAGCATTTTTTTTTTTTCTTTCATCAGTCCAAACGGTAGTCCAGGAATGTCCGCCTTTGGTGGACAGTATGTGACGGTCGGCACGGTACCGTAACCCCGACGGTGTGTCCTGCCGCACGGCCCAACAGACAGCACGCAAACCCGACCCCGCACACCAGCCCAGAACAACCCGCCACTTGCCTAAAACAAACACCTACGAAACCGGGCAAGTGGGATTCCATTTTACTTATACGTCCCTTACGGACCGGCTCCGCTGAAAGTGGTTCTTTTGCTTTCTTACGAAAAACGGTAGAAGTTGGATCAGGCCCTCAGTCTGAGGACCTTGTTGCTCCACTACTCTCAAAATGCGCAAAATGAGAGTGAATATTCAGCAAGAACATGGAAAGATACACCGTGACGGTCATGATTTTTGTCTTTCTTTTGTGCATGTAGAGAATAGTGGAGCGAGGAGAGCATTGGAGTGAGGCGGATAGCTCTAGAGGCGGCCTGGTCCTAAGGGAAAACTCGCGAGGAAAAAAAAAAAAAAAAAAAAAAAAAAAAAAAAAAAACGACGAAAAAAAATAAAGAAAAAGACAATGGAAGAAATACGACGAAAACTTGCAAAAACGAAAAGAAAGCGCCCGAAAAATGAAAGAAAAAAAAAAAAAAAAAAAAAAAAAAAAAAAAACCTTGCGAGATAAGGCCTCGCTGCACTACTCTCGATATGCACAAAGACAAAAATATTGGCGGTGTATCTTTCCATATTCTAGCAGAAGATTCACTCTCGTTTTGCACATGTCAAGAGTAGTGCGGCGACGCCCATACTCTCACACGACAATGTTTTCGACTATTGAGTCAGTTTCGGATTTGGACGTAATTGCGGTCATATACGTTCCCTTGTTGCTGGAATTGCGGTCAGGTGCATTAGGGAAAAGTCATCCTGTGAGTTATGCACTCACACTGCGACTTTCCTGAGTGCATGGGCCTCCCCCCCCACCACTCACCAAATGCACAAAAAACAAAAAAGTTATGGGTCCTTCGGGACATCTGGAACGATATACAGAAAGAAGTTTAGCATGGTCCCTACGCAAGGGTGACACGCATAAATCGAGAAATGGTTCAAAAGCTATGGCGCTGTATCTTCCCGTGTGGTAGGGGAAGATGCGTGTCTCTTACGGCCCGACCTTGATGCACCTGACCGCCTTTTCGTCCTACTAAGAGAAGTTGAAAATGCCCCTAGTGTGAGTATATTCTCTGAGACGGTGTGAGAAGCGATGCTATAAAAAAAAAAAACAAGGGGACCCGCCGCGGCTTCGCGCGTGGTGAAGAGAGGGGGTGGTGGATGATGAGGTAGAAGTTCAAA